CAACCACTATCCAAACTCCTGCGCATCGTTATCTCCAAATATCTAGACCACATTTACTTCAGCTCCCGCATTTTTCGCACCTGACACGCCCATCCCATGACGGGATGTCGGCCGGAGAACAGAGCGATGGCTGCAATTTCCCTCACGTGAGGCAGTTGAGGCATGCACATGATGGCTGCAGCAGCACGTACACTGCGTCGCGAAAACCTTGCCCGACTTTTGGATTGGTTTTGCGTGTCAGCCTGCGTGCAAAGTTCGTCAGTTGTGATAAGCTGCGCAGTGTTTCTACTAAACTGTCGTCCCCATGTAATCCCGTTATAAATCCGCTGCATTCTCAACTGTCTTTTTTGGATGGGCCTACGAGAACATACTCTAGCCAGCTCAGTGTTTCTGGGTGTCAAGCTCTGGTGGTGTCCGCGTTCCAATCATTGACCTTCTCTGGCTGCGGAGATACAGGGGACACCATTCTCGCGTAGCATTGCGCACTGCTTCAGAGGGCTTCTGCACATGTGCTGCCTCAGGTATCACAAGTTAATAGTTCGAGCTTCCATTGGCAGCACAGGACCTACATAGGATATACTGTGACTGTTCCTCTAAAGTTGTGTCCTCTTAATTGCAGTAGGCTAGCAGCTAGCACATTCGCCATGCTTGTATTTATGTATTATATAGATATAGACCTCAAAAAGAAAGCAAAAGCTGAATGTATCGGTATGCTAACGCACCTCTATTCCTGAAGCTGGTGAAAGGCCCTATGTTGAGTTCTCCCCATATGGGTGTTTCCTTATAGTCCTCTCATGATCCTTATAGGGTCCAAGTGGCCCCTGCTATTTTGAAAGTCTTCCATTTCTGTTCTAAACAGGACCAGATCATCAGTACCAAAGCCGTGCAAGTCCATCTCAGTTGGATTAGCCGACTGCCCGGTGGCCCAGAGGTCATCTTGAAGCCACTCCCGGGCGCATGGGCATAACAATAATATGGTAGTTCCCCAAAATACTATAATCCTTATTATTGGGACCCCGAAAAAGGTACCCCTAATTTTGGGAAATCCCCATATAGATAACAGTTATCATGATATAGTATATACTAGGAATAGTCATATTCGTAATGAAGAGAGTGCTCGTAGTGGTTGAAATAGCAATAGCTAGATGAGACGATCCTGGAAGCAACTATGGGCAACCCGTAGGCTGAAGCTGCAACTGAGCAAAAGATTTTGCCAGGCCTTCTGGCACTAGCCCAACTGCAAACAGATGACCCCTGAAATAGAAGGAGCCATGACATGCCAGCACCAATCGAAAAGAGGGTGAAGTAAATTTGGCCAGTGGTTTTCTTTGAGATGTTGAACCCCAGTCTTCATCTCAGTTGTCGATAGGTAGGCCAGTAGATATTCACTGGTGTCCGTACCTTGCGACCAACCAGGGGCAAGTTACAGGAACAATGCAGGAATGCAGCTTCAGGCCTGTTTCCACGCAGGCCCTGCTCAAGCTCGGTAAGATGGCTGTTGACAAATGGGGCCGGAAAGGTGCCCCGACTATCATCCTAAACATTCCCTGTAACCCGAATAACTTACAGTTTTATGGGTTATACTTACTGATTAAGGGGTACTTACTACTAAACTGTAGGTTATTGGAGCCACAGGTCTACACTAGACCCTACATCCATAATGGTGTTGCCAAGTACCAAGGAGCTGGAAAGATTGCTGACGCTCTGCCTGGTTTAGGGTTTCGCGCTAAAGGTTTTGCAAACCCTTTGCGCACTTGAAATTCCTGGGCGTACTGTAGCGAGGACTGCTTGAAGACTTATTATATAGAATCAGATCCCCTCACAGTTCTCTCCAGAGTCGCGCCTTGCTGTGAAAGTCACGCATAGACCGTAAACACAATTCTGCCCTGCTTCTTTCCTGCAGTTGTCTTGATTGCAGATTATGCCTACGATTCAGCGCTCCTCAGTAGTGCTATCTGCTGTGTACACCTCAGGTTGTCTCAGCCAAAGCCAATCCCCGCCCGAGATTTGCATTGAAATCCCACGCAGGCCTGGAGGTTCCCAAGCACTCTTAGGGTTCATGGTTTAGGGTTTAGGGTAGAGGGTTTAGGAAGCTTCCAAAGAAAAACTAGCAGACGCCAAAGGATAGACCAAACAGGGAGCCTTATCCGGGACGTCAAAGGACAAGGGGCCGGGGACCACAGATCTAATTCATGTATAATCCTTACATACCCCCAAGCTTCCGTTTCATATTCCATAGTAGCTTCCATTTGGTTCTCCGTTATAGTAGCTTCCATTTTCGTCGCCATCCCTAGCCCCTGTAATTTGAAAACCTCCCCTGGGCTCATATACGATAGATAATATAGTTTACAATACCATAATCGACAACAATATACTATAATATACTGAAAATGTAAAATACTATATACAATATACTATTATATTGTTGAGGTTTCACCATGCGACGCATTTCCGTTCTTCGGCTGAGGAATCTGGGCAACTGCTTCCTGGCCCCTGAGGTTTGGGACTTCAAGAAGGCAGCGGGAAAGGGTCAGGGTTTTAGGCGCAGTGTTAGGGACTAGGGGGTTGAGGGCTTAGGGCCCAGGCTTTCGGGTTTAGGGTCACCATGACTCCATCTGAGGCCACTATCCACCTCGAGATTGTCTTGCTTGGGAGGTTCATGTCTCGTTAAATAAGCGCTGCACGTGCTCTGAACCAGTTAGTAGCTGTCGTTTCTAGAGTTATCCCAGGTTATATTACGCTAGGGATCTAAAGAGCCCAATGTAGGCAATATTGAAAGATCCAACGTAGGCAGTATTTGTAGACTTGTGTTCCCTAGGATTAGTTATTATCCTGCCTATAGCCCCAGTCAGTGTAATTGCTTGCCCAGGTTTGTGGATTGGCGGCCGGGGGCCACCTTTGCGACGTCATGATGCTTCTTTCTGTAGTCAGGCCCTTGGCGTGGCTGCAAAAGCCAGGAATGCAGGTTATGGCAAATACTACTATAGTCTAACCTCCTTAAAGGGGGTCTATATGGGGGATTATATGGAGGACTAGTATTTCAAGGCTTATAAGCGGGGATACTAGGAGTTTAGGGTATAGCTCATATAATACTATGAGGATTGGTAGTTCTAGCAAAGTCATAGTCGTAGCTGTGGTACTAGCTATATTAATAGTTACAGTAGAGGTCGTGCAGTGCTGAGTGTAATAGTTACTGTAATTATCGCCATAGTACTAGTAACAGTCAGAATAGAACTATGTTATCAAGAATCACCAGAGCCATACAACTTTTTTGGGCATGTTGTGGAATCGCAGCGTATAGGGCAGTATTATGTATGTATGTATGTATGTATGTAGGTAGTTTTATTCAGGTAGGTATGTATGTATATATATATACACAATTCAAGGGGGATGCTAGGAGTTTAGACCATAGCTCAAGTGATGTAACTCCGCCAAGGCGCCTCGCCAGGGCTATCGCCACGGTATGACCAGAAGTAACGACTAGAGATACGGGGGTCCCCGAAGAGTTATATGAGCCACCTCATATGAATGGACAAGAAAAGGGAAACTACCACAGAAAGAAGGTTCCTATGTTAAAATACGGGCCCCAAGAACCATTTCCCCCATTTCTGGAACAGTAATCAGGCCAAGTCCCGTATGGCCTTGTTGCTTGCTGTTGGCTTTATGAATGTTAGGCCCTTAGAACCTCACTCTTGCAGCTTGCGCAAAGGATGGCTTTAGAGCGTGGCGGTCACAGGGAAAACAGGCTGGTTGTTATGACTCACATCGATAGGTTTGCAGGCGAACATGTATTTCCAAATGCTGCATTGTTGCAGCGGTTGACTGAGATCAAAAGCTTTTGTTATGACTTGTCCACAAGAGTCATATGAGAGCGCGGTTGGGTTTTGTCAGTACTTCAGTGCTCGCCAGTAATAGCGAGTGTTGGGGCTGGGACTCTGCCTGCCTAGGTTCATCACATTGACAATGCCGTCTCCCCAGGCCTCTGTGTGGCGACGAATCGGTTTAGGGTTATGGGTTTAGGGTTTAGGGTTTAGGGTATATGTTTAGTATAGATTTAGCCAGCCAGAGGAGGTGGTTTCTCTAGATAGGGGAACCCCCAAAAAGATCCCCAAATATTATAGTCGGTATTATTGGGATCCCCGATATGGTACCCCTAATTTTTGGAAACCCCATCAAAACCTTCAAGCGCTTACAGCGCTGTTGCAGTTTCTGTTGTCGGATGTCACGTTCCTTAACTGCAATGCTCCGAACGAAGCAGGCCTAGCTGCCTAGCTTAAACGTTGGAGCCATGAAGAATTCTTAAATCTTGCAAGGACGGTTCAGGGTTTAGGATTTAGTGCTTTAGGTTTTAGGGTTTAGGTCTGGGGCCCAATGGTCACGATAAACTTCCTACAGATCTTACCGTTGAAGGAAAGCCCCATAGTCGAGGTCTCTGTTGAGCAATACGCCGAGCAGAGCTTGAGCCGGGAGGAGGCGGCAGATTGGACTGTACTCTTCAGATATAGGGTTTAGGGTTTGGGGGTTCAGGGTTTGGGGTTTAGGGTTTGGGGTTTAGGGTTTAGGGTTTGGGGGTTTCCGGGTACCCTTTTGGGGCCCCCATAATTAGGAGTATAGAAGAAAGGGTCTATATTGGGGTCCCCCTATTTTGGGAAACTACCATGCTAAAGTTTTCAGAAGTTGGGGCAGTTTTTGGAGTCTCCGCAATAAGGATTATATCATATTGGGGTCTATATCCTCAAGGAGCTCCAGAAAGGTTTGATGCGCACTATTTGCATAGATGTCCAACTGTTTCCAGTTGGTAGACCTGTGTTAAAGCACTCTGTCGCTGTGAAGTTTTTTTTGTGGCTTGAGCTTCCCTCACCCTGATATGTCAACCATCAGCAGGTCGCACTGCGCACCTCATGCATTGTTGCAGAAGAATGCCATCTCAAGATGCGCAGTGTTTTTGCTCGTCAGCCGTCAGCGACCGTCCCAGTAGCCCATTCTGCGGTACACTCGCCATGACCCAGGCTCAGATGAAGGACACGCGCGACGCCCTCAAGTTCACCAGGATGTGCAAGTACTGGAGCATCAACCGGTGCCATCTTGGTTCTGACTGCAATTTCGCGCATTCGGAGTCGGAGTTGAGGGACCAGCCGGACTTGGTTTCCACACAGCTCTGCTTCCAGTTCGCACGTAAGGGGGTCTGCAAGAACGGAGAGGCATGCAAGTTCGCTCACGGAAAGTCCGAGATTCGCCGCCTCCCCAAGAACAGCAAGCAGAATGCAGAAACCAAGAAGGTGCCAAAGCCACGCAGAGAAGAAGGCCAGAAGGCTGACTCCAATGTCGCCTCAATCGCCATGTTGTCCGCAATGGCAGCCGCCCCGGACACTGGAATCAGGCCGCGGCATCAGTAGTCGCAATGATGGTTTGAGTTCGAGCGGTCACAACAACAACAACTGAAAGTAGCAATGATCATCATCATTCTCACAGTTTTCATCTTCGCCGCCATCATACTAACACTGATGTGAGTAGGTACTGCCACCGGGGTAAGTTTTGCAAGGAGGTCATGCCATTATCACGCTTTTGTTATCGCTACTACTCCTGCCGTAAGAAGATACTCAGAACATGGGTGTGTTTGTTACTGTTCTCTTCATCACGAAGCAGCACCAACTCTAAACCCTACACCCTAAGTATAACCCCAATATAACCTAATATAACCCCAATATGAAGGTTGCACATGATGTCGACTTTGACTCTGGACACAGCCTTGACCTTCCGGCCGCCGCCGGGCTTAGAAATTTCTGAGCCGGCCAGCCCAATCAGTCCTGCACCAGGCCTGGGTCAGATTGCGAGTTGTCTTAGGGTGTACCTATTTCCCAAAATTATGTGGAATAATGGCCTTCTGGGCTACTTTTATGGGTTTTGGGCTATTGCTTTACCAATTTTGGGGGTCCAGGTAGGGGTTGGGGTAGGACATAGGTTCAAGGATTCAGGATTAGGGCAACTGGGTTTAGGCCTCTGCTGCTACTGCTGCCGCTGCCGCTAGACCATTGCCATACCTATGACGACGACTCCTACTACTATCGGCGCTACTTGAGCTATAGTCTAAACTCCTTAAAGGGTGTTATATAGGCGATTTATCGGGGAGTTTCATAGGGCTTATTAAGGGGGATTCTAGGAGTTTAGACTATAGCTCACTTGTATAATTTGCAGTGTATCCGCAGCAGTAGCAGCCGTGTAAGAGGCAAAGGAATCAGGAGCAGCTGGCCGAAACCCTGAACTCCCCCGTGTTAAGGAACTAAGACAAAGTTGCCCTGAAACCGACACATGTTAAGGGTTTTTGGGGTTTAGGGTTTTACATATATATATAATTAAACGGGATTCTCACAGTGATGATATCTTAGCTTAAGCTCCTTATCAGCAACCAAATAAGCTGTCCATGGGCAGTTATCCCTAGAAACCCTGTAGAAAAATCCTACAAACCCGTGGAAAAAAAACAGTGTCCGTTCCATTGGCCATCGTCTTTGCCATTTGACTCTCCATATCCCCAAACCTTATAAACCCCAAAGGGCAGTTTCCATTTCAAGTTCCATCTTTTTTCATTTGACCCTCCATTATTTGGGTAGAAACCCCAGCTCTAGACTTTAAACCCTAAAACCTCAAACCTAACAACCTAGAACCTAAAAACCCTACAACTTGCCCAATAGATCCTAAAACCCTAAAACAGACCCTAAAACCTAAAGCCCTAAAGCTACTTCACCAGGCCTTGGCATCTTCGTTCCCTCTGAGCCAATCGAGCCGAAGTTAGCAGTGAGGCTTTCGGGGAGCTCTCACCGAAAGCTGCTGGGTTAAAATGTAAGTAATGTAGGGTTTGGGGTTTAGGGTTCAGGCTTTAGATTTTAGGGTAGGGGTCCCTATTAAGGGCTTAAAATGTGTTATATAAGGTGGTTGTAGAGAAGAGACTTTCGAAAGCTAGCAGTTCATGATTCAAGGCTTCTTTATCCCCAATTTCCGATGTCTTTTGGCTGCAGTCTCCTACTTGCGGTGACTATGCTTGCTAGGTAAGGTTGATGTGCAGAGCTCGGGGTTCCGCATTGGCGCTTAAAGGTTGAGATGCGCAAAAGACATAAAGAACGAGAAATGGCAGAGAACGCAGCAGCAGCGGCAGCAACTGCCTTGAGAAGCATCATTCCATCCACAATCAGTCGTGTTTATCGCAGATCTCACTTGTTGTTCTCGAGGCAGCAACGCCCAAAAGTCAAACAAGGAAAGCAGCAGCAGCAGCAGCAGCAGCATCAGCAGCAGTGGTGATTGTAAATCTTCTGCAGATTGTTGTCTCACTTCCACTTATTCCCCCAGAACCCACACAAAAACAAAGAGTTTCCATTTCATTGTCCATTTGATTCTCCACTGGGAGCAATGAGGGTGAGAACCCAGGCCTTTGCTGAAACAGCCCAGCCATGATGGAGTTGTCAACGAGCTGCCACTCTACGTGGACACAAAGGGTATCTTTGCACAGCAAGACGTGGACGTGGCAACGGAGAGTGTGGCCTCCACTCTCTACGATTCCGATTGCAGTGAGCCGGCCAGCCCCATGAGCGGGCCTTTTTGGTTGTAAGCTGTCTTTTTCTCGAGGAAGCAACAGGCCCCGAGAAGAGGCTGCAAATTCAGAAAATTTGATTCGCCGCCTTGGGCGGAGCCCATGGTCGGCCCAGCTTGCTTGGCGCGAGAGCCGGCAAGCGCTTTTGCTTTAGCAATCCGGTCACATCTACTATGTGGCAACTTTCCAAATCCTCCTTCCGAGTATTAAGTAACGCAGCTCAAGGTTCAGCCGCGACAGCAGTAGATTTGGGCACAGCGAGTTCGTGTTTTATGTCGAATCTGAACACCCATTGTTTGCCGGTGTCTCATCCCACCTTTTCATGCTTCAGCTCTGCTGTCGAATGCGTCTCTTGGCTGTGACTTCAAGGGTTTAGCTGGATAACTCCTTTTCCAAGGCTCCCGAGCCACTTGCAGTTGCTGGTGCGCCCTGTAGTGAAGGCCTGCCGCCTGCAAATGAATTGGCAAACTCTTTGATCAATACTCCTCATGAGGAGGTTGGGTTTAAGTGATGTGCCATGCTGCGTCCTGATCTATGCTGGTCGAGGCCTGTTATTCCCGTCTTGGTTGAGGATGTAGTGCACTTTCCTGAAGAAAAGGGAAGCAAGCGCGGCACCACGACATTTTGAGCACCCAGTCTCGCAGAGCGCGACTCGGTTGATTTTGCATAGTGGCATAGACTTTGAGCAGCACAGGCGCAGGCATGAAAAACAATGTCTATCTCTACATATATATATATATGTATATATCCCCAATACACTGGAGTGGTTTTCATGTTCTTCTCCATTTTTCCCCATACAACCCATTCAGCCCTCAAACAGGTTTTGTTTGTGCAGCGGGATCCATCCCACCATGGCATCTGGGATGGTAACGGTGGAAAGGCACTTCTTGGGCAGTCTGGTACCACTGAGCGGCACCAATAATATGTAAAGGCCTCGGTCATTAGAGTTAGGACCTGTCCAACATCACCTAAATAACATGTTGCTTTGAAGACGGTGGCCGTACTCACACATCATAACTTGACTACGCCCGCGATGGCGATGTAGCACCCTAAATCCTAAACCCCAA